CTACTGGTAAAACCCTCCTTATGGGGAGGTCTACGTTCAGCAGCAGACAGTTAAAGGCTAATATAACAATAATATATAATAATAAAGTATACTTTAATGATTCAGTTGCTCTTCCAAATAGTTCCAAAGGGGTGAGGGGGTTGTTAGTAATGTGGACTACCAGTCCCATTGCTAGCAATGTGCCCTGTCAGGTCGGCCCCCACACGGTTCCTCCTGGAAACTATCGTAATTAATTTATTGTTAAATTCGTCACAATTCGCTGACTGACCTGCCTTTCCATTCTCACTTATCATCATTCACTAGTTCTCCGTCAGCGTATACTATTAGCGCAGGCGGGGCTACCATTCCATTAAAATCTATTAAAAAAAAATAGATCCAAAAGTTGAAGATTCACAGTTAGTTTGTATTTTTTGTGGCTAAGTTCGATGATTACATTGCTAATTATCAAGCGATTTTCTTATCGATAGTTTTTACTTCCATATTAGAAAAAAGTTATTCTTTATTACTTACATTATTTTGTGACAATGAACCTTTTTTTATTTGTGAAGAAACATGTGTGTACATCGCCTTTTGTAGTAACGTATACATTATTCAAATTGGTGCCTTCTGTTCTTTTACTCTAAAGACATTTATAGATGACTATAAGAACTACCTACCATGGACGTCACAACATATTTTCAACGGATTTCAAAAAGAAGCATGCTGTCAATTCGGTAGTAATTTTATGTTTGTTGCCTCACAAATTCGTCAGTTCTAAACCAATTTTGATTTTTTTTAATGACAGAATATACTTACAGATTGGTCCCGTAGAGATTTTGTACTAATCGGTTCAGTAGTTCAGTTTTTAGATCAAAATAACTGGCTTTGTCTTAATTGAAGTCGGTTTTTTTTGGTGATATCTATTGTCTTTGTTGAAGATGACATTCATAAATGGCAATAGTTTTTCCGTCAGTTTATAATAAATAATATATACCTATGTAGATCTAATCTATTAGTGGATACATTGGAAAAGTCAATATAAAAACACGTATTGCTACTTAATAGATCGATTCAATGTAAATCAATAAATACTCGTATTGCAATGTTAATTGTAGTAATTTAATTATACTTTTTTCCCGCTGTACATTTATTGTTTATTATATTTCAAAGAATCTTGTTTTTAGTAACTTAGAATAGCAAACATGCTGACGACCCACCTGATGGAAAGTGGTAACCGTCACCTATAGATATGAGCAGTACCATGGACATAACAGAATGTACTGTTTCGCCCATGAAACCCCCATGCGTTGCCATTCCTGAGGACTCAGGTGTTATTCCTCTATACCCTGTAAGTTTCCTGCCATACTACCATTTACTGCCCACCATTTAGAACAAAACAGAGCCATGCAAAGACAACTGCTTATGCACGAATGGGACAGAGGTGCTCAAGCAAACGACTTTTGTACAAAGTCTCCCTCTATTAATTGATTAAAGAGATAAATTACTCGATCAATAATTGCTGTTTTTTTTTTAATATTTTTTGTTTTGTTTTTAAACTGTAATTTATGTCTCTATTGTTCATGCTACAATCTTCTAAACTGTTATATAATTACCGTGTTTATATCATCATCATCATCATATCAGCCCTTAAGTATTCACTGCTGAAGCCTCCCCCGTAGGAGGGTTTTGCCAGTAGTTGTCACGCTGGGCAGTCGGACTAACAACCGTATATTTTAAATATGTTTTAGAGGGATGGTGTTGACCATCCCTCGCCTTCTATTAGTCGTCTCTTACGACACTCACGGGAAAGGAAGGGATGGCCTATTCTATGGCGACATCACAGCGCGTAAACAAGGATCAGGCTGGCTCTGTATGTGATGTGTGATGTGTTTATATGCTGTTTTATTTTCCATTTCGCAAGTAAATAAACGTATAAATAATAATATAAGTGTAGGTAAAGCGTGTGTTTATAAGTGTATGGTTCGTGTCCATGTATAAATTCTAGTGTGATTTTTAAATTTAGTGTATTACACTATGTACTTTTGTTGAGCCGATTTTTAATAGGCTTTTTTTTATGGGTGAAAATGATATGGTGACCCCGCCTGTGCTAACGGGATACGCTGGCGGAGCACCAGTGAAGGGTGATAGATGAGAATGAAAACAGGCCAGTTAGCCCATCATGATGAATCCATCATGAATTAACCATGATAGTTTCCAGGGGGAACCGCGAGGAGGTCGACCTGGTTGGGTATATTATTATCAGTCTCTATTACTAACAATCCCTTTTCCCCTATTTTTAATAGGTTAAAATTGAAAAGTGACCCCATCTACGTTATTTGTATGCACTAGTAAGGCACCAGTGAGAGATGATAGGTGAGAATGAAGCGGGTGAGTTGGTCTATTTTGATAAATTCCTCAATAATTAACAACAATGGTTTCCAGGGAAATGTTACTAGCAATAGGGTAGTTAGACCCCATTCTTGTCAATGGATGATAATGAAATGGCGAGGATGGAAGAGCAGGTCAGTTAGCCCACCGTGATGAATACATCTGGAATTCAGCACGATGGTTTCCAGGGGGAACTATCTAGATTTCAACCTGATACGATATATTACTAGCAATGGGACTAATAGTCCGCATTACTAACAATCCTTTTCCTTAATAACAGTCTCTTTCCCCCCACTTCATGTATGTACCTAAGTAAAAGCTTCAAATTAGGTATTCTTCGCGGAATATACTGGTAGTTATGATTTATGTTGATACAGAACTAAATAGGATTAAAAATTTACACACATTGTTGTGAAAAAATCTTATTTACATCAATAATAAATAAATAAATGCCACTATATATACACAGTATCATCTAGTCTCAAACTGAGAGGAGTACTATAGATATTAGAGAATTGGTAAACATACAGAAATAGATATATTTTTATATAAATATATCTATAAACATTGAAAATACCCAGATCAATACAAACGGCCTTACTTATAAATATAAGTGTTTATATAATACACTATTTGTGTTATGACTTATTATAAGTATAAATAAATAAATGTTTTTATTGTACGGTGATCGAACTCGCGACCATGTGAAGGTGAGGTAGTATTTTTTATGGGCGAAAATGGAATTGTAACCTCGCCTGCGCTATCGGTATACGCTAGTATGGCACCAGTGAGAAATGATAGATGCGGATGAAGATTAGTTATCTTAGTTGGCCTATAGTGACAATTTAATCAATAATTAACCACGATGGTTTTCAGGGGACCCACGTGGAGGTTGACCTGTTAGGGTATATTGCAACGAGGCTATTGGATTCCATTATTAACAATGCTTTTTCCCCCAGGTCTGTTATACCGCTAGACCATTGAGGTCTATTTTATAGGTGAAAATAAAAAGGTGCACCCATCTATGGCAACGGTACACATAGAAGAATCGCGTTAAAGTTATAAGTAATAAGAATAATAACTAATAAGATATATTGTTAGCAATTGGATTACAAGTCCACGTTACTAACTATCCCTTCCCCTAACTATCAAGGTCGTCTAATGAGATGCCGATTATCATTTATTATCAGTTTAATAAATATTTACTATATCAAATAAGTACCTACGTAAAGTCTGTTCGTTTTGTCTGCCTGAAAATTTGATCGTGCGATAACATCACAAATTATAAAATTAGTCATATTTATTTAGGTGTGTTGATTAAGATCAGCTATTTGTTTGCGTACATAATATGTTTACTATATTACAAAAAAAAAAAATTATCCGATTAAAAGTTTATCTAAAATAGAAATATGTACACATTAGATTTACTTCTAATAGTAGATACCTAAGCAGTAATCGTGTACTTTTTGCTATCAAAAATTATTTACTAAAATAATAAAAATAATCAACCAGTTTGTAAGTCAAAGTAGTTTCAATTAATTGATCTATTAACGACAAGATTAATGTTCTGTACATATCTACCTAGCGTACCTAACCTACTAACTGGGGGAAAGGAATTATTAGTAATGGGATCTAACTGCACTATTGTTAGCTATACACCCTATCAGGTCGACTTCCATGCTGTTCCCCTTGGAAACCATCGTGGTTAATTCTGTGATGGGCTGACGTACTTATTTTCATCACCACCTGTCATCCCTCACTAGTACCCTGCCAGCATATACCAATAGTGCAGGCGGGGTTACCATTTCATTGTCACCCATTAAAAAATCTACTAACAATGAAAATATGATGAAACATACCGTAAGTATTACACCTACTATAATTAAGTATTTATTGCATTTAATTATTGAATATTATAAATACATTAATAAATATGTTTTATAAGCTTTACTATTTGAAGTATTATTTTTTTCAACTAAACAAAACTGACCAGTTCAAATTCGGTAAGTCTAAACAATATTTAATTAATCATTTACTGACTTAATTAATCGTTAGATAATTAAATTTTGTTACTATTGGTAAAATGTCAAAATTACTGGTATGAAGTGAATAAATACGTACTTACCCGTTTATGCATTAATTGATTACTATGTATTCGATATTGCATATTATTATGTATGTACTTATTTGTTCAGTTTTTAAATGAATAAATTTGATAAAAACCTGGTCACAAACTAAATACTATGCAATAGGTATGTCATTGTTACCTAATGGTTAATCGCATGACTAAAATTGTTTATGAAATACCTGTCAAAAAAAAAAAAACAAAGGACCTAGAAGTTACTTCCGTAAATAGTTATAAATAATATATTTTTTTTAAATTAGGTAAATTAAGAATCTCATAACTCAATTGTGATTTTCCCAAAAAAAAAAAATCGTTATCTACCTAATATGAAGGTGTTTTTAAGGGAGAGCTGGAGGAACGTGTCCACCTACAATTATCTGGTGCGAAATACATGACTGAGGGGGAAAGAGATTATTAGTAATAGGGCAAGGTTTTTGTGTTGAATTTTAATTAGGCAAAAGATGTAAGTTTTTTTTTTTTAATATTAATAATAGTTGTCTTTGCTTACCTATTATAACCACAGCATACTGCCGCAATAAAGGACTTTGTAACACTTTCAACATTTTGTTAAAAGTTTATGTAACACTATTAACACAAAAAACTTGTATCATAAAAATCAAGTCATATTTCGAATATGAAAAAAAACTAACTAGCTAACTAGTTAACCCTATTGAACTGGTTTTAGACATCCAATGATTGTTATTGTAGTTAATAATAAATAACTTATTATATTTTTAAATCATGAATTTATATTGATATCATTATATCATTATGGCCACTTCAATTATATTTTACTCAAATTTAAATATAAAAAAAATTAAGTTCTCTTTTAAAATCACGAAATTTCGCATCAAGCAATATTCGAGTATCAAACATCACATCTCGATGGCAACACAACTCACCACTAACTGATCCGATCGTGCTTTAGAGGTAAGTCCATCACAGTGTAGTAATTTTATATTTACTATGTTGTTTAACGTGTATGCAACATTGATAAAATAAACAAACTTTCACAATTATATGTCATCTAATATTTTTCATCGTCTGCTATACTTATTGAAGTGCAAATACACCTACCAATTAAAATACGCAATGTATGAATTGAAAGCGATTTTCTCACTTCCTTGCGATTTTATAGTAGGGAAGGTTCATTTATATTGACATCAAGAAGGTAGATAGGTAAGTTACGAAATCTGTTTTTATTGGCGTTTGCTATACTGCGAAAGCTTACTTACTGATTTAATCTACATCGTCGTTTGTGAATTTTAATTCTCCTAATTTCATGTATTTTTTAATAAGTAATAAATAAAATGGTATTTTAGTAACGCATAGAAAGACTACATGCTAGTAAAGAACCACTAGTCCCATTGCTAGTAATGTACTATTACAAGTCCCTTACCGAACTCATATACATATGTACCTACACACTGGCGTATAAGTTTTCTTTCTAGAGGGAAAACGGGTGGTAATTTTTTTGCGCAGAAGCTCAGCTCGCATCTTGGGATGGGCACAGCTCATTCAGCCTTACTTTAAATACGTCTATGAATACATTTACTGTAAAATACTTCAAAAGGAAAAGGCAAATGTTCTCGAGTAGACCGTATTTTTTTTGTTTTTTTTTAGCAAAAGTATTTGTATTCATATCGGTCCAATATTAATACCTATTAATTCACACTTCTTGGGGAAAATAAAATGTAATATTAATTGTATATGTTTTAATAAAAAAAAAAAAAAATAAAAAGTATAATACTTAATTTATCAGAAACCGTTTTTAATTTCTGGTGCCAAATCGCAACATTTTTAAATTCTTTATAGGGTTCATTGAATACTGTTCACTGAATTCTATAAATACTATAATTTGTAGAATATAGACTGAGTTGCTCAATTTTCCTTTTTTTCTTAAAAAAATAAATAAATAAAAAACGGATACAGTTTTGATTCATTCGTTAATTTTTTTAATATTGTTTTTAACGGGCTCCAAGATAAGGCATATGATAATTTATTTCTAATAAAATGTCAATGTCAAATTAACTGTCAGTGCCATTATAATATTGTCGTTTTATACAGGAGCCTCTGTTGTGTCATTTAGAATTTTACCAAACAAAACAATAACAACCTCTTGAATTAAGAAACAAAATAAATTCTATATAAGTTATAAATACAATGAAGATTTATTAATTTCAACGTACTGTTATTTTTCTTCCATAAGTCTGGTTACGTGTGTTTATATTCACATAAAAATGGACGATGACGATTACTGGAATACTAGTGAAACAAAAGCACAAGCATTAAGTTTCGACGATGATGTTGTACGTTATTTATTTTTTACTTATTGTATCATTAATTATAATCTTTCCAATTATAACTATTTAACAATCTGTAGTAGAAAACAAAATCAAAAATTTTTAAAGATGTTTTTGATAGTAGTTTGCAATTTATTTAGTCCTGTATACTTGCATATATATTATGTATTTTAGAGTATACTACATTATTTGCTTTTGACGCACTTTAACGAGCTCAATCTTTATCTCGTTTCTTAGTAATTTTGATTAATCTTTAATGCATACACTCTTTATAATAGTAGGAAGAATAAGTTGAAACAACCATTAAAGTACATCTCTTATTGAGCTTTAGTTATCAACAGTTTTTTACTATTAAAAATAGAGTGTAAAATATCCATTTAACACAAACTGTACAGAACGGATATAATTCTATTTTTGACTATAATTTAATGTCGCCATTTGAATATGTTTAAGGGATGTATCTGGGGTTTACATTTTAGTTTTAAAATAATGAAGTAAAACAATTTTTTTAAAGAGACCAAATGATTATTTAAATATACATTAATTTTAATGATTAAATATAGATGTATCACTTTATTTTAGCTGTCAGCTCAAGAGATCATAGCAATTGGTCAGACACCATCCATAGGTAAAGATGAAGACAGCATTTTCAGTACCAGTAATGTGAAGACTGCACTGTTACCGCTATCCAGTCTTGTGTCACCTAAAGTATTGGATTTAAGTATGTGTACTTTATTGGGGTATTTAGTGTTCTTTTTTTTTATTTTTCCTTAAATTTTGTTGAAGCTTACATTGAATTAAAAAAAATCTTTTTCAAAAGGCATGTTTATTTGTTTAATATCACTTTTGAATGTTGAATGAATTTCCAATTTATAATTTCAGTCCTCATAGCACAATCTGGGAAAGAACCATACAAGGAATCAAAGTCAGAACCAGAAGAAACTGTTGCAGTGACACTCAAGAGATTGGTTCTTGGTCGGAATTGTACCCTCCATGTGCACAGAAGTATTAAGAGCAAGAAAGAATTACTTGATGGTGCTATAGCCATCGGGGATGGAAATGCCATACTGAGTGTATGTGTACATATATTTTATTACAAATTTTCATTTAACTTTTAAGCTCTTTTCTTTTTTTTGTCACACATTTTATAAGTTGTTTCTAGCATCAGCATAATATAATTGATCAGATGAGCTGGTCATAGATACTTTGTAATAAAATAATACAATCCCTTTGAATTTTGATCTCATTCTGCTTGTTTTTACAAATATTAAAGAATAAGATTTATTTTCAATTACTTTTTTTGTATGTAAGGTATACATAATAATGTAAGTTCTACATATTTTTTAGTGCTACAAATTGATTGAAACATTTGAATTTCCATAATAATTTATGTAAATTAATTAAAGTCTACATTTACCACTAAATAAAATTAATGAAATGTATAAATATTAGTGTCCGACCGAACTTTCGGTTTCGGCCAAAAACAAGTCGAAACTTTCGGCCGCGCCGAAACCTTGTGTGTATGTTTGTGTTGTGTGTGTGTTTAACTGAAAAATTTTTTTTTTAAGTTTACTTCCAAAAGTTAGTCATAATTTTAACATGTTTTTACATATAAATATATATGACATATTTGTTACATACTTTAATTAGTGTTTATTATTACGCTTTAACTATTTGTGTGTTTGTGTCAATAATTGTGTAAAAAAATACACTAGATTTCAGTATAGAAGAGAAATTTGAAATATGTTACAGTATGTTTCGGTTTTGGCCGAGACAGACCAAGGCCGAAAGTTCGGTTTCAGCTGTAAAACCTGTTTAGGTCTGTCTCTAGTGTCTAGTAAATATATTTGTAAGGAAGCATATGTTTTGAGTAATTGAATTATTCTTTTCAGGTGGTACTGTTTTTGATTCAAACCTTAAACAAGAAATTAGTTTATGAACTACTGTCATCTCGCCCATTAGCTTTAAATCATTATATAAGTTTCTTGCAAAATGAGGGAAAGATAACTGAACTGACAGATTTACTTACGTAAGTATTTTTTACTATCAATTTTCAATACTATCTCAAGGGTTATATGTCAGTAGTCAGAAAAAATAGAATGCTATCCGAAAACTTCTTTTGTATATTCCAGAATTGTTTAGCCATAAAATTATAAAAATTAGATATGAGGAAGATACAAATCAGCGATGTGACTTTGTATTCAATTACTTCCATATTTTCATATCAAGTACTTAGTTAGTATTTAGAATGACTTGACAAAGTTTCACTAAGTGCCAACAACTTTTAAATTTAAATGCATGTTATTTTGTTTTATACACTGGCAAAATGTGAGCATGCTGGTACTGGAGACTTGAACTTCTGTCTCAAATTGCATATTTGTATTATTTCATATACATTGTTACATTTCACAGTTGTCTCTCTAATTAACTAGTAATGTATTATCTATTACCTAATTGAATAGTGACCCCACCTATGTTATTGTTATACACTGGCAAGGCACCAGTGAGGGTGATAGGTGAAAATGAAGGAAGTCAGTTGGCTTATTGTGACAAATTTAATAATAATTAACAACAGTAGAATGTTGCTTACAATGGGGCTGTTAAATCCCTTTAGTAACAGTCTGTTTCCCCCTTATCCGTGTATGTAACTCAGTCATTCGCTGTGGCTTACTAGCAGTTATGGTTTATGTTGATACCGAACAGCACAGGGTTAAAAAATTACGCACATTATGGTAAATTGTTTTCAGGGCAACCATATAGAGGTCAACCTGTTAAGTAATAGTAAGCAATATACCCTATATTGCATACTATTACTCCAATATTTTTATGTGTATAGGTATTTTCCCTTGTACTTATACATTGTTAATTGTATCATAATTTTCGTACTTTTTTTTATTACAGTATGCTCGGAAGGAGTTCAGAGGCTGCAGTAAGTATTTTTCAATTCTTATAAAATAACATTCTTTGACATGCTGTATAAAAATTGTGGTAGATTTTCGTATGAATGTCTCACTAAGGTGAATATGCATGCAAGGCAAGTGTCAATCATTTTTAATTGATCTAAACATGAATTTGATTTGAAATGTTATTCAAAAGTTCAGACTGGAATTCAAACACTATACCTCTTCTGGTGGCCTGACGCCTTATTTGCCATTTGCAGTAATATAAATAATGTATTGTTTTTTTTGTTTAGTTATATCTTTTTATAGATTATATAAGTCGAAGACAACTGCTTATTGTGTTATTAAAATTTACAGATTTACCAGTACCAACATCATGTGAAAACTCAAGGCAACAATGTTGATGGTTTGATCAAGAAACTAGCGAACTTGTTGGCGAACCACTTTAGTCAGCCTGCAGTGGATGCCCAACAGTCGAAATTAGTCGCAGATTATGTTAAGTTATTAGGTAATTGCATTTTTCCATAAAATCACTTTTTTATAAAAATGTTCATCATTATTAGAGTTCTGTGTACTATTGGCTATGACTCCAAATCTATAACATTACCTTATTTCTTTACATTTGATATTATATCTATCCTCTAGCCAGATTTCTTATGGATTATGCAGAGGTAATTAATTCTAAACCTATCTCCTTACACACATTTCTTGTTTTATCTACTTTCATAAATTCTTTACATGGTGTGTGCGTGTGCGTGTGTGTATGTAATAATTTTGTTTACGCATGTTTTACGACACGTGTTTCACTTCTAAATGAGAGAGTGAAGTCGTTTGTTTGAGTACTTCTGTCCCATCCGTGATTTTGTTTATGAAGCAGTTGTGTTTGCATGGCTCTGTTTCGGTTTGAAAGATAGAATATGACTGTGAAATTACAGGGTACAGAGACATAACACCTTAGTCCTCAGGAATGGCAATGCATGAAAGGTATTATGGGTAATATAGTATACTCCATTATATCTAAGGCACTATTTATGTTTATAAGCGACGGTTACCATGTTCCATCAGCTTGTGTTATTCTAAGTTGCATAAAAAAATAAGTCAGATTAGTTACAATGATTTTCAGAGTCTTCTCTGTGATGATGGACTTGAGACGGGCCTCTAGATCCCGTTACTAAAAATCCCTTTCCTCCATGTTAATGTGTCATTATGGTAATGTTAGATTATTGATTTTATCTTTCCTGAATTCCAGAATGGCAGAAATACGTCAACAAGCAAGAACTGAACAATACCTCGCCATTACACTGTCTGGCGTATTGTTGTACTAACCACTGGCACGAGACAGCTGGCAACATGATGTCCCCAATGACAGTTTGTCAGCGACAGCAGGTATGTTAATATATAAAAATACTGTGTCACAGTGAGGCTGATTCTATGACGCTTTTCTCTAAACCTGTCTCAAGCTAATATTTTATTTTGATTATTTCGCAAACATATTTTTTATCCATCCCCACACCTTACAACCAGTGCGGTCGCCCACAGTGAGGTTTCAGAGGAGCTTGCTTCCGCAAACACTCAGGTTGTGGAATGATCTTGCTACCGAAGTTTACCCTAAAGATTACAGCATGTGGTTTTTATAAAAGATATATTAAGGTTTCTCAAAGGTCGGCAACGCGCACGTCACATCCCTGGCGTTATAGGTGTCCATAAGCTAAGGTAATCCCGTTTACCATCAGACTGGCGGTATGCTTGTTTGCCACCATAGTAATATGGACCAACTTATAAAAAAACATATAAGAATTTTAACTTAAAAATTTAGTTTTTATTTTTCTTTAGAATAAAGATTTAATTATAAAATATTCGCTGCGATATCAAATTTTTACTGAATATTGTTTAAATTTTTCTAGATCAGTCCCCTACAGTATGACTGGGTTGTGTTGAATGTCCACGCGAAATTAAACAAATGGGATATAGTGGAAACTTTATTCACGAAAAAGGTAATATTTTATACATTTTCAAAATTAAACTTTAAATAGCTTTAAAATTGCGGGGACTTTGTCCGCGTGACCGTGATATATTTACTAACCGGGATAAAAAGTGGCCTATATCCTTCTCCATCCCATATAGTAATTGTGCATCGAATTTCATAGTGATTGGTTAAGTCGTAAGATGCTATAAGGTAACAAACAAGCAAACTCACTTTCACATTTATAATATTTATTTAATTTGTTATTGAAATATGTGGCTGACGTAAATAACGCAAATACCTTAATTCTTACTAATTGTACCCCGCGGTTTTTATGTGAAAATAAAAAGTATAAAAAATGTTGTAGTTTATCTTTGTACCAAATTTAAATCTATCCAGATTTTTTAAAGTGTTCACAGTTTTTGTGTAATTGTAGCAGTAACGATCAAACGTTTGATATTGCAGGATTGGCTGGGCCGCACAACAGTGTCGTCACACATTCCAATCGAAACCTTACTAGGCCGCCTGAGCGAGTTACAAGCAAGCATGAGGCTTATGGCCACATGTGTCAATAAAGTGGCCAGTGCAGACGATAGATTGAGATTGGCACAGATGTATAAGGTGTGTGTGTTTGTAATATACATTTCATCATCGTCGTGTCAGCCGTTATGTGTCCATTGCTGGACATAGGCTTCCCCCATATACTGCCATAGGGAATAATCCTGACCTACCTGCATCCACTGACTCCCTGCAATGTATTTGAGGTCATTCCATTTAGTGGGGGGTCGTCCTACACTATGTTTGTCCGTACGGAGTCGCCGCTCAAGAACCTTTCTTCTCCATCGGTTGTCGATTCTTTGCAATATACACTTATTAAAATTATAATTCAAATGTAGTAACTAGATTGTGTAGCTTTTTAATTAAAAAAGTTGATGTCTATCTGTCGAAAATGCAATCCTTTTTTTTTAATTGATGATAATCTAGTGGTTACTCCGTCTGCGTCATTCATGATGGTTTTCAGGGGAAATCGCGTGGAGAGGGATTGCTAATTTCCATTAATAACAATTTTTTCTTCCTCCGATGCAAACAATCGGTTATAAAACCTGCCGATGTAAATATACTAGTACTTTAATATTATTCTCTTAGCGCTAGTGGCCTATTAAACTCGGCGGGATTTGTAGACTGAATCCTATTATGATTTGTGTAAGGTGGTTTTCTTAATCTCTGCTCAAAACATCGGGATTACATGCTTACATACATAGTTTCTAATTACGCATACCTTTTAGTGTGTAGTACTAACTTTTCTGTCATTTAACAATTACAATAATAGTGATTTCGTCGTGTGTCTCCCGGTGTAGAATGGGCCACCCCTTCCTTTCCTGTGGGTGTCGTAAAGCGACTAAGCGAGGGCGAGGGATGAGCAGTAACGTCTCTTTTAAAATATCTCTAAAAGCCTAACTGCGGTTGTCCTCCTGCCAAGCGTGGCAACTACTGGCAAAACGTCCCTTAAGGAGAAGGCTTGTGTCCAACAGTGGGCAGTTAACGGCTGAAATAATAATTATTGAAATATGATTTTTATATTTTAATAATATTTCGATTACAGATACATTCTGTCGTGATAGAAACATTTGCTAAACAAAAGGACAGAATAGCATTAACAAGTTATAAGATGACACTGAGTCCGCAATCTGAGGAATATATATTAGCCGAAAATACTCTGAGGGATATGGTATGTATAATAATAATATTTATTATTATTATATGTGTTTTGATATTTTATTTGGTTTGTTTGTTTTTTTTTTCTTTTATAACATTCGGAACCAGCGCAAAGTAATACATTAGTTATTACTGTTAAAGTAAATGCAGACAAAACTTTGGACATATCATACTAGATGTCGCTGGAATCTAGATTTCTAGTTTTTTATTATTAAAAGTCTATCTAATGCGTGTGTTTGCGCAATTTTTATTATTTTATCCTTTAATTATCAGAAGTGCCAACACTTATGAAATGTTGTTTTTTGTTTTCAGTCCATCAAATGGAAAAACTAATATCAATAAATCGGACACGAAACTGGCTTCTTCATCAGTGTTTTGTACTTTTATTGCAAGTGTGACATACGGTTAACAAGTGAGTGTCGAATTCTTTTGCATAGTATTCCGTGACAATACTACATAAGAAATAGTAACGTGTAAAAATATAATAGTTGTTCCACCAAAACCAATCACTGACTTTTGTTTTTTTTATGTTATATCTTCTATGATGTTTGTATTCTTACATCTATGAGCGTTAATAAGAAGACAAAATAGATCATAGAACAATTAATATATTTAATATTTACTATTTTTTTAAAGATATGAAGGCAGTAATATTACTAATATTACTGTCTTCATATCTTAAAAAAAAGACAAAATGTTCAATAAGTGTTTAATTTTAAGCATAAAATGCTAAAAAAGAAAAGAATATTATAATAAAAGGTAATAGAAATATAAAACCACTTATATTAATAAAATACTTTGCTTAATATATTGTTATTGAAATAAATAATTATAATGTTATGTAAACTTCTATGATTAATATTTCTATAAACGTTATTAAATATTACTGTTATTTTTGTAAATAAATTACATTATTTTATACATAATATAGTTTCTATTTATCCTGTGTGGTCCTAAGCATGGAATATTCCACCCCTTCCTTTCCCGTAGATGCCGTAAGAGGCGACTAAGGGAGATCGAAGGGTAGCAGTAGCATCCCTCTTAAAACATCTCCAACGCTTAACTGCAGTTGCCAATCCGCCTGCCAAGCGTAGCAACTACTGGTAAAACCCCCCTAAAGTTTACTTTCAGCAGTGGACAGTTAAAAGCTGATATGATAATATATCAGTTTTTAACTATAACCTAATACATATGTTGGTATAACAATACCAACATATGTACAACAATGGTTGTACATATTATACTAAACTTATATATTTATATACCAAATAATTATATACTAAACTTCTAGTGATACTTTTTTTTAATGGATGATAATGGGGGACTGATGATAGATAGCGATAAAGCAGGTCAGTTAGCAAATTACACAAAAATTAACCACGATGGTTTCCAGGGGGAAACCAAGAGGAAGTTAACTTGACAAAGTATATTAGTCAGTCGCCTGTCACGCGGTTCCGGCTAGAATTGAGTTATTAAACTTCATTTTTAATAATCCATATCTCTGAATACCTCACTTTGGGTGTACTCGAAGATCACATAGATGCCATAAAAGAGCGTAACTGCAGAGTATCGTTCGCCTCGGGTTACAGATAGATATACTTTTCGAGTGATAGCCCCACTAAAAATCAGTGCTACAGCTTAAGCTGAGAGAGCGGTCCACTTCAGCTGCTATCACAGTATGCGAACATTATCATTTTAATGTATTACGTATAGTTGTCATTGGTACGTTCTGTTCAAATGTTGTTGTATTTATAACTGAATTATTATTTTCTTTCAAACTTCTCAGTTTTTAGAGCTGGTAAATACATTTTTCAGCCTACACCACACCTACAAGTTCATGACCAAGTTAGTGTAGTCTGTACGTTATGTATGGAAGGTTATGTGTGTATGGCGGACGGTTATATTATATATTATTAATAATTTCCTAAAAAAAGCGAATGCTTTTTCCTACGTAACACTAAAAAATAGGTATCGACTTATTAGTCAATGCTATATTTAGCATCGAAAATTATAGAAAAAACAACGTTGAGAGAGGCCAAAAGTTATAATGCATAGTATTCATCCATCTCGATTTAGTTTTAGCTTTTTGGAGTATGGCCAAAGACCAAAACTTGATTGATTAAAACTACTGCACCTAAATTTGTCTGGCGGAAATTTCATGGAGTTAACAATTTTCTGTTATTGCGAAACAATATGCTTTGTTGGGCATATTATCATTGACATGAATGTAGAAACTTCTTTAATTATATATCTGTCAATAACTTATGGCAAGAACGTATAATGTTGACAGGATTTCTTAGTGTTTACTTTATGAATTACTGACTATAAGCTAATTGCTTTTCGCAATAAAAACTGTGAATGATCTCCAATCGTAGATTAATACGTAAAATAATTATAAACCTTTGTCGTTTGACAAATTAACATATACCTACGAGTATCTATATTCTTATTAATTCAGAACCTGCTAAGAAGTGATACAGTTTTGAGTTTATTATGTTTTTGTTAATGGCGAAAGTTGACAACTAATATTAATCGCTGTGTAGAAACATAAATAACACCACGAGTATCACATAAGTCTTACCATAGAATAAGCTTTTCCTCTTCTATTATTAAAATATTTGTTTCAAATCTTAATTTATTATTATTAATTATTTCTAATAATATCAATAGTTCTGTATCCAATGACGTGCCTGGAAGGTTATTTAACGCCACTGGTGTATCATAAATCTAAAAGCTCTATTCACGAGGCTCGATTATTAGTTTATAAAATTTTAGATAAAAAACACAGCAAGAAATAGGAAAAAAAAATATACTTCCAAACAGGAGTAAATTTTAGACATGTATACCTTTTAAGGAACAGTAAAATGTTCTCAATTACAATAAGTATTTTTCAATAATAAGACAACATTGTCTTCAGAATAATTTAATAAAACTAAACTTCACATTATTTTGGTAAAAATTGTGTCCTTCTACGAGTAGTAGGCATAAACACAGGTTATATTTTAATTCAGGTTGGCCAATATCTTGCATATCAAGTCTTTGATCTGATTAGACAGCTGCCCTACGGTCCCACAAAGTTGCTCAATGGCATGAAGCAGTACTCTCTGATAATCTTTTGAGGACATATTAGAATCCGAGGATGACGGTCGCAAATTAGTTTTTCTTGTGTTATCTATAAATAAGGATTATTCTTTCATTTCTAAACTATGTTTTTATGGAACTGTGTAGGTATGTTATGGAAGTAAAAAGTTTCAATTACTAATTATGAAAAACAAAATTAACATGAATTATAGTGGGTCTAAAACATCTTAAAATAGGAAAAAGTGCGAAATGAATTTAAATAAGATTTTTTTTTTATAACTTAGAATGGCAAACAAGTTGACGATCCATCTAATGGAATTTAGTAACTGTCGCCTATAGACGTGACCAGTACCATGGACATAACAGAGTATACTGTTTCGTCCATGATACCCTCATGCGTTGCCATTTCTGGGGATTTAGGTGTTATTCCTCTGTACCCTGTAAGTTCACTGTCATATATTCGGTTTGAAGGGTGGGCCCTTCAAACCTAAACACAGCCATGCAAACATAACTGTTTGACGGTAGAAACACGATTGGGACAGAGGTACCCAAGCAAACGAGTTTTGTACAAAGTCTCCTTCTAATAACTATAACTATGGCATACTGCCGTTTTGCTATATTATTTGGACTTGTTCACTGTAATCTAAATTAAGAAAATTATGGTAAATCGAACATATTTGTGTACCAAATTTCATTCAAATCCGTTCAGCCATTTAAGTGCAATTTAATAAGAAAATATAATTAAAGCTAGGTTTTCATTTTCAGATATAACAAATTATTAACAATAGTTTCACGCACGACTGTAAACCCGGAAATTATAGTCATTTTCTAAATTGCTGCCATAGTATAGGTAAGTTGATTCATAATATCCATCTTGCCATACCATATTTCGTCGAAGATAATTACTTGAATCCAACCTGACAAGGGATGGGTCCACTGCCATTTCCTGGATTAATTTGATTTGCTAGCTTTGTTTATCGTCACACGATATTTTAGTAGACTCTTTCTATTTAATACAAAGTAAATATAATTTTTTCATGTCGTACTTACGACTACTGAGGTTTTTGTAAACCAGGCACGCACGCGCATTCTACCATTAATAATGTGCTAATGTAAACTACATATGTAAATAAAAATAAATAAACACAAACCGCCGTTACAACTGGTTAAACAGGAACATGATGAGGCTTTAGAGGGTTGTGAGGTGAAAGATTTTACAGGAATTTCTTGCAGCCTGAAGGAACTTTGGAATTTGCTGGTTTTGGAATTATTTTAAAGGATTTTATAGGCGAGCTCTGCTTTGGGGTGCAAGAAGGAGAGGATTTACTTAAAGAAGAAGGACTTGGGGATGTGGCAGAAGGAGAGGGAGAAGGCTTACAGGGCAGTGAGGTTGGGCAGGGTTCAAAAGGTGGGACTGGATGAGCAGGAGATTCTAATGGGGATGAGGAGCTTGGAGAAGGGGAGGAACTGGGAGGCGGCTTGCAAAGAATTACTTTAGTGGGATCTGATGGTTCTTTTCCTTTTACTGATAGAATCTTGATTTTATTGGGGCAATTATCAACGGTACACTTAGGCACTTGGTTTGCTGGGCATTTCTGGTTGGAACACGTGTATGAGGTGTTAGTCAACTCATCTTTCGGTTCTAAAGTATTGCAATTGGGACAAGGGCATGTAACTTTGATGAGGCCAGCTTTAATATCTTGAATTTTGCCAGGAGTATAATTTAAACAAGTGTAATGTGCCCACTTTTTGCAAGCGCCCTTGCATTGTAGTCCGGTTTTATTGGTAACGCTTCGAAGGCAGATTTTGCACGGATTTTTCACTTTTGCGCACTTACTCATCCCTACAACAATTATTTATGATATAATTTCATTATGATCACGTAAAATAATTTGAACTATATTATGTTAAATTTCGAAATTATACATTTTTGCTGAAGATAAATCAAACTATAGATCACAATGACTATATCAATACTACACATAGAAACATCGGCATTATTTTTAGTCTATGGCGGTACATAATAAACATCTACCATTCTAAATCTACGATAATATAGTATAGTTATCTGTCTGAAGTATCTATGGTCTCGGCTCTATCTGAGGTATATTAGGTAGTATTTAGACACCTACATAAATCCAAAAAAATTTGTCATTTTGACTAATATTATATTGAAATTGTAAAAGTTAGTTTATTTGTTTGTTACTTCTTGGCACCTTAATAGTTGAACAATATAATAATAACTACTTTTAGTAAATCGTCGCAGTCGCTCAAGACTAAGGGTTTCGAATGCTTCTGGAAAAAGTCGAGCTTTATCGACAAAATTACACGTAAATTCAACTGGTACTTATTACAATAAAAGTAATATGTACTTAGAAACTTTATCAATGGAATAGCTAACCTATAACCATAGGATGAAGAAGACTGTTATTTACTACAATATTCGGGTCACGCAGTGAAGTAGCGGGCCAAAGGTAGTACCTATTTTAATAAGAAATAAATTGTAATGATTCCGCAGATACCCAATATTCTCATTTATATCAAAATTACTTGATGTCCCTAATATGTCTGGACATTATGAGAAACAATAAAAGCATCTTATTTTTTTAGGGGTAAATAGAAAAACGGATTAATCAGTATTTTGTTAATAGCCAACGATGAAATTGCGCAGTTGTAATTTCTATTATTCGCATATCTTTTTATCGAAATACATAACAGTATATTCAACCTAGGAAAATTAAAAAGCTTTTTTTTGTATTGATTGGGTATATAATTATCGCATACCAGTTATTGCCCGTAGTTTTGCTTGTGTAATGTCGTGTTTACTGTTTAAGTTAAAATTTTATAAAATAAAACTTATATTTAAAATTTCAGTTCTCCAAATTTAGTAGTTTTGGCTGTTTGTTGATATTCAATAAGAATAAAATAGTTTATAAGTATTGATTATTATTACGTAATAATTTTTGATTAAATTTTAATTAAAAAAAAAAAACAGATTATACCGCAGATACTGTTCTTAATCTATGAATTATTTATAATTATTTACTATGTCAGTTAGAAATGTCACTCTTATTTCCAGATCAAATCTTTCCTGTTTATAAAATTAGCATATACTAGTTTTTTGCCTACCATTTCTTACGCATGGATTTTAGAAGTAAGAAAACCAATAAAATCGACCGCTTCTAGATGACGTATGAAGATAAAATATAGGAATACAACTGTGACCATTTGGATATTAAATTTACAGAGTCCCTTACCGCTTGCTACCTTGCCAGCAATATCATTTCATTTAGATTATTATTATATTAATTTTTTTTTATACAACTTAGAATGGCAAACAAGCTGACGGCCCACCTGATGGAAAGTGGTAACCGTCGCTTATAAACATGAGCAGTACCATGGACATAACAGAGTATACTGTTTCGCCCATAATACCCCCCATGCGTTACCTTTCCTGAGGACTCAAATGTTATTCCTCTGTACCCTGTAAATTCACGCCATATCCCTCAAACCGAAACACAGCTATGCAAACACATCTGCTTCACGATAGAAACACGAATGGGACAGAGGTACTCAAACAATCGACTTTTGTACAAAGACTCCCTCTGGTATAATAAGAAGACAGTTAATGAAATAAAAGATTATAAACATTATAGGTCATATGGTTGAATTTACAGAGATATTATTTATGCAACTAGAAAAAATAAATAAGCTGTTCGCTATATGATAAAAAGTGGCGAGCATCGATTATGGACATCGACAGCATCACGAAGTCACTGAATGTTACTGTGATGCCCATAGAATCCTCATGTGTCGTTGTTATGTTCAATATATATACTTACAATATAGGCACTAGTTTCTTATATTTGACAACATTTATATATTAATACACACTTTGTATTTACTCAACTTTGAATGTAATTCTTTATTTTGTCTTAAATAATAACAATAATATCATATTCACTTAAATTCAAGTAACATAAAAATATCACCTTGTTGAGTTAATAATAAATGTATCAAATTTTAAGGTAAAACGTAACTCGTAGCGTAATGGTTACATTTTATATAGATGTATCCACCTAATCTCATTTTTGGGAAGGAACGGATCGTACTCTATCAGCAACATCCACGCGATCCTCTTTAGAAACTGTCACGGTTAATTCCTCTCGAACTTGTCACGATGGGCCGACTGACCTGATTAACGTACTTCATCTTTATCATTTTAATTCTTCGCTGGTACCCTATCGTAGTATAATTACTAGTGGGCGCGCAATTTATTTTTATACATTAAAAATTCATTGTTACATTATATAATATATATTGGTAACGTTTTATCTCGTTTTATACTGACATGTCTATGTAAATCCAATCAACGCACCACAATCCAATTCCTAACACGTATATCCCTTTTCCCTCAGAAAGACACTAAGCATGAGGCAATTTAGAAAATCGTCGGTAGGCAGTGAACACGTGTCGATTTTCATTATTGTCAAAAAGCCATGGTAGTACCAAGAGAGCACGTGGCTGTAATATTGCTAATCAAACTTTGCTGTCCATTACCTCTTTTATTATATGTATTTTTTCTTGTATTTGGTATTTATATAGATATAATACATTTAAGAGATTATGTTTTTAAGCGTAATAAGTACCTAATAGGATTTATAAAAGGCTATAACTATGTAATAATCTTACTGGACTTCTTTGTAATTTCCGTGATTATTAACATTGTTGCATGTAATGAAACACATAAGTGAAGATGGCAGTTATATATTGCTTTCTCGCCCCTTTTTCTTGCCTAATATGGCTGACACGCCTTTGTAAATTTTATTGCAATACATAAATTCTTCTTTATATACTCCATTATTTTGCTTCAAATATATGCTCGTATCAAACATTCTATTAATGTTTATTAATTAGTAATAATAAAGATTTTAATAAGAAGCAATGGATTGTAACATTATCTAAAGGACTGTTCCTGCTTCCGGTATGGAAGTAGGTACGTTATATTAGGAGAAAGAAAGATAAATCTTGACCGCACACCGGGCGCTGACTTGTTATCAGCTACGGGCTTTCTTGATTGGGTATCCAAGGAAACTGTTTCTCCACAAAAATCAATGTATTAATTTGAAAAGACAGGTCAACTACTTACTCGTAAAAAGAATCATTAAGACATCTTTGATATATTGTGGTGGGATTGTCATGACCATTAGTCATTTGTACGCCTTGGTTTTTTCTTCTATCTATATCTTACTAATGTAATAAAATTGCAACTAAATGATGTCTGTGCATAGGAGATATTTAAGAAAACATAATATGAGGGATCTTAATAAGACGGTTAGATGGGGTTTCATAGTTGTATTTCTAAAAGTCTAACTTAAAAACTGATGTATATTTTATCTTCATATCTGAAAGTATGTAATCTATTTCATTGGGTTTCTTACTTCTGAAATCCATGCGTACGAAATGACGGCCAAAAAAATACTCTATACAAATTCTATAAAAAGGAAAGATTTGATTTCTTATATGTTTGATTGTTTGTAATGGATAAATAAAAAAACAGTTTAATCGATTTTAAGACTTCCTTACTTATATAAATCTATGTTATATCTTTTATAATATTAAGTATAGACTAATTTATTTTTCCATTCGAAGCCAGGCCGGATCGCTTGTATGAAATACATTAAGATCTTTTTTCTTCATAGTTTTTGCCTCTCGTGAAGCATCTATTACGAAAGGACCAGGTGCAAATACTCTGTAATGTTACAGAGAACTAATATTAATCATTGTAGGTAATGAATTTATTTGTCTTTGGTGTATTACTGGATACGTGATTATTTTTCCAGAGCAGTAATGTATGTATATATTATTATACAAGAGATATATCTATACAATGATTGGGAGCTTGTTAGATGCTTAGATTAATGATCAGCTTATATCTGTCAGAGTAATCAAAAGTTTATATTTCAGTTTTTTTTTTTTTTTTATATATTAAATAGACGGTCTGCGTTTAGATGAACTACGTATCATCTACAACGCTCTCTACTAAAAGAAATCCGAAGTAGCGATTCCCATACAAAATTATCTATTTTTAATTCTTCGATTTAGCTCAGCTGAACTTTTATTTTTGATTTTTTTTTTCTTTTAAACTATCCTTATAGTTTTTTTTTTAATAATTCTATAAATTATTGATAACCATTAATTTCTCTCTTTTTGTTAGTAGAACAAAACAATAGGGCTGTTATTCCTGTAGGAGCCTTTAATATTAAAAAAAATCAACATAAAAAGAATATTCAAATCCTTCAAAGAATGATATAGATTATAAAGATAAATTAGTAAGTATGGGCGCCTGCCAAACGTAGCAACTATTGGTAAAACCCAACCAAGGGACAGTCAAATCAATATTTTTAAAACTACATATCAATAAAAAGATAGTATCACTATCAGAATAATTACTAAATGCCATTATCAATTTTAGTCTGTATTATTGTCAGTTTTTTTTTCATTATAAATATTTCATATCTTATATCTATATAAAATTACTTAACTAATTTATTTATTATTTTTTCTGTTACAACTAAATGTTATTTGCTTTACAGTATATTAAATGATATAAGCAACAGAAAAGTGGAATCAACTGTCCCCAGGCTCCCATAAAAATACATATAAAGAACGTTGGGCAATTTATGTGAAAACCAACGGCCGACGTAAATAGAATGGAGCCAGATTTTTGTTTTATATTGTGCAATTTGCGGCAGTCTATGGGGAGGCCTATGTTTAGCAGTCATTCACGAAGAATGGCTGGAAATGATGTTGATGAATGGTGTTTATGTAATTTGGGTTGCATGGGTCGCAATA